CAGAGTTCTCTCTATTAAGGATTTTTTTTGCTGTTGTCACTTTGATTAAATACTATGAAGCATGATTTCAGTGACCCTTGTTTTACAATGACAAGGTCAGCAATCTCTTGATCTTGTTTAAGTAAGTTTTCAAAAATCTTTTGATATTTTTGACAAGTTTCTCCCTCAAACAAATAGTCAAGTCCTAAATAAAGGTTTTCCTTTGACCTGGATGAAGGAAGAGAATTTCTCTGAGGATTTTCAGAGGGCCCCTGGGACTTCTCAAACAAATTTTTTCTCTCTTCCCATAAAGGAGGCATACTAATTAGGCTTGTTTGGAATGCTAAATTGCATGAGAAGCATTGTCAAGTAAATGATAATAAACCTTAGGTTATATTGTGTAGTTAAATATTATTCACTATTTTAACCTTGCTACTGATGAGGATTATTTTAGGCTGGTTACTGTTGAAAATTGCAGATGAGAAGGAGGCTCTGAGACTGGAAATTGTTTGCCCTTTGATAAGAGACATTTGCATTTGTGAAGGAAGTCTCCATCTGTGGGTGTTTCCCTCTCTGCACCAGGAGGAAGGGAGGATGACCTTATCTCTAGAAACTCTTAATGGGAATGGCAAGGACTTAAAGCTTCTTTATTGTGCTTGTCTGGTGACCTCATGTAGCTGACTCCCCCCACCACCACCATCCTCCTTTGTCTTTAGTTAAAGATAGTATTTAGGGTGGTGGCTTCTGGCATTTATTTAATCCAATTTGATTCTTATCTAAAAGTTATAGGACCACTCAATAGCCAGACCCCACCTGCACTGATACCATTCTAACTTCTTTACATATTCTTTCCTTTGTCTTGTAAAGAGATAACTCACATGCCTATGCCTTAGATTTAGCCCTACTGTCAACCCATGCCTGCAGCTTTTCACTGCCCATGGGTCCTGTCCCCATGCTATTCTCTAGATAGGAGAGCACTACTGCCAGACCTTGAGAGTCCAAAAAGCTTTCTTTTGACTCCTCGGTTCACCGACCCTGCATCAGCTACGGTGCTTCCAACATCACAAGGGGAGAAGATCACTACTGCATTCTATTGTTTAATTTGGTTCACAAACGGGTCTTAAATAATATACATAGGTTGCAGCAAGACGGAAAATAATACTTTTGGCAACCTTCTCCCAGTGGCTCATATAGCCTCTACTTGTTGTGCTATATGGCCAAAGTATAATCCAGAGAAGCCACTTCATGAGTCACAAAGTCACTTTCCCTTCCTAAGGGACCCTTTGAGGTATGACAATTGGACTTTGTCCAAATGCCACCATCTCAAGGATAAATGTCTTGTAATGATCTGTATGTTCTCACATTGTTTTGAGGCCTTTCCTTGCAGAAGGGCAACGGCTTTAACAGCAGGTAAATTACTATTAGAGAGAAGAATTCCTGTTTGAGGAATTCCTCCCGAGTTACACAGTGACTGGGGAACTCAAATCTGTTTGTAATATTTGGCAAATATTGCAGGATTTCCACTGCGCTTACCATCCTCGATCCTCAGGATTGGTAGAAAGAACTAATGGCACAACCAGAACTTAATTGGTAAGCTGTCAGAAGCATTTACTCTCTCACGGCCAAAAGCTCTTGTGCTAGTGCTCCTTAATCTTAGATCTATACTTTTTGTAAACATAGGCTGTCTCCTTTTGAAATAATAATAAAACAGCCTATGCAATTAGATGAAGAAATATATGAACAAACTTTGCTTAAGGGGTATATTAAATTGTTGTCATGGTCTTATTGAGGTGCTTAAAAAAATGAAAGATTGGTAGGTTTCACAGAGCTCCCAGAACTTAAGGATCATGGACTATAACCTGGAGAATTTATTTGTTGAAAGAGACATCAAATAGGACTCTATACAGCCCAGTTGGAAAGGACCACACCAGGAGGAGAGGAAGACGACATCTGTTGTAGACAGCTGTCTCAAGACTCCGGACCAGGCCTATATTCCCAACGTTATATCTCCTCATTTAAACATTTGTTATGCCTAAACTGTATACCTATTTTATAATTTGTTTGGAATACTATCATACTTAAAGAAAGGGATTAATTTGGAACAGACTAGTCTTGAAGGCCAGGAATTTATCGAGCGACTCCTAACGAAACTCAATGGTTATGTGGAACAAATCTTTGGCCTTGGCTACTGCCTGGATGGCTAAGACACTGCACCCTGAGTTTCCTTTAAAAGCAGGGAAGGAGTCAGGCTGAGTTAAAACCTGTTGTCAATCTCCCTCTCTTAAGGCCAGATGGGCTTGTTCAGTGTTCCACTGGTATGGCCACCGGGTGGCTATGTGTGCTTCTTTCTTGGGACTAAAAGATGTCATTATTATGTATGGAAGCCCTGACTATTACTCAAGCCCTTAATGATAGTCAGGTGGGAATAGCCTTATTAAATACTGAAATGTCTTTAATGCAAAGGGCTGTCCTTCAAAATAGAATGGCCTTAGATATTCTTACAGCATCCCAGGGTGGCACGTGTGCAATCATTCAGACCGAATGCTGTGTTTTTATATCTGATGAGTCTTCCAATGTGTCATCTCTGCTAAAGCACATGAAGAAGCAAGTGGAGGCCTTAAGTGATCCTACACCCAGTTTGATTTGCTTGATTGGTTCCCTTTCAGTATCTGTTCCCTTTTTCTATCTGGATTGCAATTCCTATTTCTACTACTTATTGGAATCCTTGTACTGGTCATAATATTCAAACTAATTGTTGTTTTCTTTACTCAGTGTTGTAAGAGTAGAATACAAACTAAAGTAATGATTGCTCGACGGCTTAAAATGGTCAATCTATCTTATAATCCTGGACAAATTTCCTTTTCTGATAAAGACTTTACCTAAGAACTCATTTTAAACTAATGTCTTGAAAAATACTGAATTATTATTACTGTACTTGTTCTATAATCATATACAACGTAAATGCAAAGTGTCATAGAGAAGCACATATACAATGTTTGTGAAACATTCTAAAATTAATTGGAAATTACATGACATATGAAATGATTCCTCTGTTAATACATATATGTCCACGCTTGTCCACTATTTCCCCCCAACGTGGATGACTAGGCAAATAATGAGATAAAAGCCTAGCACCGAGGGACATGATGGACCCAGGGCAGGCAGCAACCACCCTGGTGCCGAGGGACAATATTTTGATCATCAATGCTTTCTATCGAAAGATTAGAGATCAAAAGGGGAAAATGACAAATAAAAATGGCAAGCAATAGGATATATTGCAGAATATGAGGAAGCCATTTGATATAAACCTAATTCGGCCTGACCTTGTCTTTCCAAAAGGGCCTGACCGTGGCCGTTGAGCATGCATTGTATATCTGCTTTAGATATTCCCGATGGCAAGAACAAAGGCCCTTGAGATAAAGGTGCAACTTCCCTCCCCCTCCCAACGTTGGCATTCCCTTAAGGATTAAGCATCTTTCCTTAGGCTAGGAACTGATTGCAGTGCTCACCTGTGACCACCCAGCTCAAGACAACAGACTTGCCTCCTGCTACGCCCACCAAGATAGCAGTACCCACTACCTGCTGTGTCCATCAAGCACTGTGCTGACAGGGCCATCTTGTGACTATTGTGGGAGGGGCATTTCAATCATATGTGAAACGTCCTGTATGGGGGTATATAACCACTCTGTATACCTCACTTCTTTGGTGCCCTTTCTTCCTTCGGGAAGAAAGGCCCTGGGCCATGTTCCTCAGATTTCAGCTCAGAATAAACTCACCCAAATTTTCATTTATAGATTGGTTATGGATTATTTTCGTCAACAAAACTGAATTATATTCCTACTCCAACAGCATATAAAAAAATAATTTTGGATAGAGAAAACAGACTCAGTACAATGGTACACAATGTAGCTGCTAACAAAGCACACAGAGCTGCCCCTGCGGAGGCCACCTGACGGCCACCAGGCGCTGCCGCAGGTGAGGGAAGTGCAGCCAAGGCAAACATGGCCATGCACACGGACAGCAGCCACACGCCCACCTGCCTACACACGCACACGTCTGCAAGTGTACACACCCAATGACTCCGAGAGGTGAGCTGGCAGAGAGAAAGGCTTTTATTTTTATATTCTTCTATTGTTAGAATTTTTAAGATTTTCTTTTTTCCCTTTTTCTCCCCAAAGCCCCCCGGTACATAGTTGTATATTCTTCATTGTGGGTCCTTCTAGTTGAGGCACAGGGGACGCCGCCTCAGCGTGCCCTGATGAGTAGTGCCATGCCCGCACCCAGGACCCGAACCAACGAAACACTGGGCCGCCTGCAGCAGAGCGTGGGAACCCAACCACTCAGCCACGGGGCCAGTCCCTTGTTAGAATTTTTAAATGGCATTGTAATGTTTTAAAACATCAACACACACACACACACACACACACACACACACACACACATGATCAAGTGATGATGATGCTGGGCCAGTAGGCTGGACACAGGTCGTGAGAAGCCTTGTATGTCTTGTCAAGGACCTTTTAGTTTATTCTTAGTCAATGAAGCACTAGCAAAAGCTTTTAAACAGTGGGGAGAAAAAAAATTACTGCATTTTTATAAGAGTCTTCTTAGTGGCAGTGAAGAGAATTAATTAGAAAAGTAGCCAGACTAGAAATAGGGGAGACAGCTAAGGAGGCTTTCAATGTCTATCCATACTTGAGATTTGCCATGAGCGTGTACAGAGTCTAACTCAGCTTATTTAAGCCTTATGCAGGTGAGCAGAATTTGCCACCTCAAGACGTGTCTCTTTGGCATGAGCATTATTATGATTTTTTTAAGGAAGATCAGACCTGACCTAACATCTGCTGCCAATCCTCCTCTTTTTGCTGAGGAAGACTGGCCCAGAGCTAACATCCATGCCCATCTTCCTCTACTTTATATGTGGGACACCTGCCATAGCATGGCATGACAAGTCGTGTGTAGGTCCACGCCAGGGATCCAAACCAGTGAGCCACAGGTGGCCCAAGGGGAGCATGCGAACTTAACCACTATGCTGCTAGGCCAGCCCCTGGCATGAGAATTATTTTTGGCTGGCTATTTTTTTAAAACCTGCAGACATGAGAAAGACTCTGAAAACCAAATAGAAGTTACCCTTTGTAAGAGACCTTTATATTTCTAAAGGAAATCTCCATCTGTAAAGATAGCTCCCTCTCTGTACCAGGAAGAGGGATGATGTTATCTCTAGACACTCTTGTCAATACTGAAGATAAGCACTTAAATCTGCATACTAACCTTACTCTTGTTTACTGTGCTTTTCTGGTAATCTCCTGTAACTGACTTCCTCCACTCCCAACGTCTTCCTTTGTCTTTGGCTGAAGATGGTATTTAAGGTGACAGCCTCTGCCATTTTGTTGAGTTACTCATATTTCCTAGGTCTCTCCCATGTATACATGATATAAAGCTCTGCCTGATTTCCTCCTGTTATTCTGTCTCATGTCAATTTAGTTCCCAGGCCAGCCAGAAGGACCTAGAGGGTAGAGGAATTGTCTTCCTCCTCTACACTTACTGTGGTGGAATTATTACAATCCCCACTTCAGATATGAGGAAACAGGCTCAGAGAGGTTCACAAATTGCTCCATTTGCACAGCTAGTCAGTAGGAAATCTGGAATTGGAACTCCACTCCTGGTCTGGGTGTATCTGCAAATTTACATTACATTCCAGAATGTGCACCAGCGTAGAAAGGTGATAACAAGGACCTCCACGAATGCAGAGCAAGAGCTGGGGATGGAGGGCAGGCCAGATGGCACAGCTACTCAGGAGGTGAGACAGACAGTGCCTGGTGATGGGCTGGATGCAGACAGGGAGGAAGGCAGGAACTGTAAACTGACCCCAGGTTTCAGGCTTAGGAGAAATTCCCAAATTTCCCAAAATGTGATAATTTTTACTTTTATAATGTTATCAGTATCTAATTACACCTTCAAGGACTTTATGGTCAGCTCACGAACAACCACATTTTGCGCCTACTTTTCAATTCCAAACTTCTTGTGCATTGTGACAGCTTCAGTGTTCTCCCACGTATCCTGCAATGAATTTTCATCACAAAAGACTATTCACTGCAAGATGCTGGCAGACCATGAGAGGCAATGAAACTCCTTCCTTATTTTTCCTTAAGATGCTTTATGATTTTCAGCTGAGCTAAGAATGGAAATTATCAAGAATATTAGAAGCTCTTCTGGTTCTCTCTTGTTTTAACCACAGAGAAAATGGAGAACTTGGAAAAAAAAATAGGTATATATACACACACACTCACACATGGCGACACTACTCATACATACACAAATTTTTATTTCCCTATGTTGTTTAAACTACACCTTAATGTAGCTGTTTTTATTGGCAGAGCACGGGTGGGGTTCATGATGTCGTCAGAGATTCTAGAAAGCTCAGGGATTACGTAAAATTTTGTGTGCAAATGGATATAAGCACTTGTCTAAAGAGTTAGCAATAGCTTTCACTAGGTGTTCAAAGGGGCCTAAGAACTAAGAAAAGATTAAAAGCCACATGATTGTCCTTTAAGGGAATCTGTCGTTAATCAATCCACTGACTCAATGACGTCTCTAGCAGACTTCAGTAAGCAGAGCCCAGCAGCTCACGGCAGCTGCTCATCACGGATGAGCAGGACAGGCAGCAAGGCAGCCTTCAGATTCTGCTTTTTCAAAGCGATGCCTATTTTTGCCATCTATTTGTTAGGCTAATGGAGAAAAATCCTCACCTACATAATTAAACATAACTCACTGCGAAGCTTCGGTTAGGATGGCAGTGAAGGATGGCTGATTGTGTATTTTTAAACACTCATTTTAGAGACTACTTCCTTCTTACTTTGAACATTTTTCATAGATTAATTCTGAATCCCAAACTGCTGCCAAGATTATATCAAGAGGTTTTCTACAAATAGAGAACACAGAATCCGTGGCACAACAAAAGCCTACTTTAACAAGTAAGTGCATGTGATTCCTACTGAGTTTTTGTGACTCTATCCTACTATAATGGCAGACCAAACACGTCCCCAGAACACCTGCTGACCTACCGTTAGGAAGAAGTTTCAAGTCCAGTCACCTAACCCAACCGCTGCTGAATTAGAGTCTCAGAAACAAGAAGAAAGCCCCGCCCAGAGCGGGTGAAACGCTGCTGTACTCAGGCAGCTTCAGACCAACGAAGACCTTCACGAACAAAGAAAAAGAAGCCCACAATATAAAATAAAGGAGTGCATGCAGAGAACTTTTTAAAACAACTTGCAAGGTGTCTGATAATCCAGTTCACATGGCTGTGCAGGTCCCACCAATCCTCTGAGTCTAGCATCTAAACCATAAACCCACATATTTTTCCCTGAATGACTAAACCCTCCCACGGGAAACAGACAAGGCTACCTCTAATATAAATTTCCTTCAGCTAAAGGAGAGGAGCTTTGGAAAGTCTGCCCTTGATTCTGAATGCCACTGCTTTCTTCTTTTCCTTTCTCTTCCTTCCAACAGCTCTGAACACCCTATTCAGTTTCCAGCTGGAACTGGGATAAGCAGCCTTCAGAGGGGCTTCAGGCCCCTCCCAAGAAGAGGAAGCCGCCCTGATCCGGCTGTCCGGCTCCACTCCTTCAGATCTGCTAAACTGTCTCTTAGCCCCTGGACTCTGAATCACACCATTTCAGAGAAGCGGATTCTGAGAAGAGGAAAAGTGGCTGAGCCACAAGAGCAGGGTGTATCTTCAGTTTTGCCCCAGAACTTAGAGCTTTAGGGAATATGAGAAATGACCATGAATGGGAATTTGCTCGGTTCTTCAGAGTCCCGGCAATTAATCACCTTAAACGACTCCACGTGGTGAGGCCACATTTTAGTTTTAAAACACACTTCCTTTCTCTGCCCTCAATGACTTGCAATTTAAAATTCAACCAAATATGTGAATATAATACACACAGCACTTTTTCAAAACATGCTTTTTTCTGGGAGAACTTTAGACACGGATGAAGTTATCTTAAAACAAAGGGCAACAAGATACAAACGGAAGACAAAAACAAATGGGTAAACAAATAAGCGAACACTTAAGGCAAATAAAAAGAGCGTGGGGACTGAGGCTGTGATTTGATTCCAAACATCTCAGAATTCATAATATCACGAGGTATTTCATCGCAGCTTATACAACGCCTGAGGAAGCCCCGTGCAGGCACAAGGCGGCTCACGATTAGTAACTTAAGTACTGTGTGAGAAGGATCGATATTAAAACTATGATAGTGTTCTCAGGGATTACCAAGTAATTTGAAAACATTTTCAAAGCACGAAAACTTGACATCCAACTGCACTGCTGACTCGGAAAGGTCCTGGGTGTGTCCAGAGTTTGCAACAAACACGCATTTTCAGAGAAGTATCTTTCTGCACCTGCGGAGCTAAACACAAACCCAGACTTCATCAAAAACAAAACAAAACACACACACAGGTTTTTCGAATTCTATTTAATGTACTGGCATATTTAGAAAAATAAGATTTTACAAAATATAATGCAGGTCTGGGCGAAGAAGCTCAACTGAGAGAGCGCCACTGAGCTACTCCTTTTGCTTGAACGCAAGTCAGGGAGGCTGAGGGCAGGAAGGTGTTCAGACAAGGCTGTCTTACGTCTACGACAACTAGGAAGTTAACCCAGGAGGTGTTTTCATCCTCAACCACACTCAGCCTCTTCCAAAAGAAATACTCCCCCGTCATGCTACAGATGGCTGCAATTTCCTTATCAGGGCACAAAATATTTCTTTCCAAAATCATAACAGATCACAACAGATTTTAAGGGGGCAGAGGGATAGAGTCCGATACAAGAACGTGGAGTAAGGCGGGTCTAAGATAACGACGTCGCTGAAGGAGCAGGGGAAAGGAGAAACATCAAAGTCTACGCCACAGTTCTGCCCTGTTTTAGGAGACAAAACAGATCAACTGAGGAAATATTTCTGTTTTCCTCACGAAGAAAGCCACTAAGTCATCAGCTGTGAAGGCAGGAGGAATGACATGGTAAGGAGAAAGTGAAAGGTCTGGAGCACCAACATCTGCCAACACTGAGATTTCGGATGAAGCTCCAGTGATGGGTGGTTTTCAGACCGGGCGCTCAGCCCGAAGAGCAGAAGATTAGGCAACGGCCAGCAGAACGCCCTCAGTTAGCGGGCCCGCCAGGACCATTCCTGTGGTCAAATCGAGGAAAGTCCTGACAAGGACAAAGTGTAGGGACACAGCCCTGGCTAGTGCTCTGAATGAATGGGGAGGTCTGAGCACACAGTGCTACCAACAAGGGCAGAGAGAAGGTTCCGGGGAAAGAAAAGGACGGTGATCCGAGAGCGAGTAATTTTAAGGATTGCTTATGTTCAATAAGGTGCACTCTATTTCAGACAGTGAAGTATGCCAACACTTTATCTACATTATATGTAATTCTCAACAGTCCCTGAGAGTGAGCAACATTATCTCCTCTTTTTGAGCTAAACAAAGAATCAGAAGTGCATGCACCACAGAGTCGTTCTTCTACACAGCGAGGGGAAAGAAGCTCGAAGCACTGAACCGGCCGCCTGTGTAAAACCACCATGCACCTCTCCCAGAGAAGCAGAGAGCAGGGAGGAGCTCACAAAGGAAACAAGAAGCGGGCAGTCTTCAAGGAGGTCACAGTTCTACCAAGACACAAACACACCGGCACACCATCGCACGGAACGGCACAGGGCAGTCAGACGTGCTAAGGACACAAGTGATAAACAGAACTACATTTTACAAAGATCATTCTGGTAATGGTGTGCAGGGAAGGTCAGAGGTGGCGCCAGCCTGAATAGAGAGAGATCGTTTAAGAAACCTTTGCTAAAATTCGTGTGGAAAAAAAGCCAGGGCTTATTCCTAAATTAAGGCAGTGGTGGTAGGACATGGAGTAGGAACTGACAAATTAAGAGGCAAAACTTGAACAGACCAGATGGCCAAACATTCACAGAGCAAAGACACAGGAAGGACTCCAGCTGGCTAACAGGAATGAGGACATACTGGGAATGGAACGAGGGCCTTTCTCAGGGACAAGGAGCCCAGGAGGCGACTCACAGAAGGAGGCTGAGAAGACAATGTACCGAGTGGAGCAGAGCTGTGTGCCATGCAGGTGAGGAGGCAGGAGACCAAGGGGCAGACTGGGAACAGGAGTTAGGAGCTCCGCTGCATTTGGTGGAGCAGAAGTTAAGAAGGCAGACGGGACGGCCCGGAGAGCCACGCAGAGCGGAGCCTAAGACTAAATCATGGGAGAAGAAAAGGACTTTCAGCAGTGCCTGGCAAGGAGTGGCTCGGAATCAGCAAAATCAGCAGCTGACAGTGCAGAGAGTTCTGGAGTAGAGAGTGGGTAAGATGAGGCCTAACACACATCCGGCTTTGAAATCTTGGAGGTCACTTCCGCGGGAGCAGTTTCAGGTAGCGGTGGGAGAAGGCCAGGCTGCAGAGGTTGGAGGAGGAAAAGATGATAAAAATCAACAAAAGAGAAAACACACCCTAGAATTTCAAGAAGTTGGACTGGACTAAGGGGATGGGTTAGAGAGGGAAATGCAGAATCAAGGAGCAGTATTTTTTCTTAAAGATGGAATAAACTTAAGCATATTTGTATTGTAAAGGGCAAGGCTCAGAAGAAAAGCAAAGTTAACTTAGAAGCAAGACATCAGATAACGGATGCAGCGCGATCTCTAGTGAAGCAGCAGTGGGAAGGATCCAGCCCAGGTGAAGGGGTGAGGGGCAGGAGGAGCAGAGCTCCTCCAGTGCAACAGGGGGAAGGGGCACGAGCAGGTGTGGGAAGTGAAGGTTCCCGGGAGGAAGCTGAAGGCAGCGTCACCACACCCCTTACAGGAGCGTCCTCCTTCTGCTGGGAGCGAGGGGAGAGGCTTGAGAGCTGCCCTCCTGGGAAGCAGGGACTGCTGAGACTGACGACCCCGGAGGCCGGCCAGGCACTGCCCAGCTCAGCGGGGACTCTGGCTGCAGGGCCACCAATCTGCCAGGCTTCGTGGTTCTTCTATAGCTGTGCTTGGCAGCTTCAGTGCAGAAGTTAGAAGGCAAACATGATTCATCCAGAGCTGAGATTTTGGCAGGCGTATATGGGGAAAAGATGACGGGGCACAAGGGAGCTGAAGATCTTGGCAAGAAAATAGCTAAAATGATGGAACCAGGGGGCCTAGTCTGGCTAGAAGGAAAGGAAGCCAGAGAGAGAAGACAGAATTCAACAACTCCAAGTCTTAATTAAAAGAAAACCTGTGAGAATAAGGGAGAGAAAGGCCTGGAAAGATAGTAGGCGAGATCAGATGGTGAGATTTTAAAGTTCAGCATTGAGGAGGTCCAACTCTGACTCACGCCAAGTGTGGCCATGGGAAGATGGACTGAACTGAAAAGGAAGTTCAAGTCCCTGGGTGGAGCCACACAAGGTACTAGCAAGTCGGGTGGACAATCACACGGGCAAAGCCACGTCCAAGCATGTGAACACAACTGCGGCGGGAGTGGGGTCGGGGGAAGCGGCAGGGCACAGGGAGTGTAGTGGTACGAGCAGACACACACAATCTAATGAAGTAGCAAGTGTGGAAATAGTAGCGATGAGATCGCATAAACCTCAAAGGAGGGAGGGCTGAGTGTGGAAGTGGAAGGGCAATAACGAGTGGGTGGGGGGCTAGGACAATGCCAGACCTTCTCACCTTGAAGGATGGAGAAGTGGGTTGGGTAGAGGGGACAGGGTACTCTCCGGAAGCAGAGGCCACAAGGGGAAGAAGGTGGGCATTTGGGCCAGAGAAAGGAGGACGAACATGTTGAGTTACTAAGGGGGTTACAGCACTTGTTTCACCACTGGCAGAGGGGTTGCAGAGGATAATGGGAGGGAGCCGACCCACGAAGAGCCACACAGGCCAGAGGCCAGGACAGACCAGCACCAGCAATGAAGAGGGGACGGCACCTGTGGTTGGCACAATACTGGCCCCCAAAGATGTCCACCGCCTAACCCCTGAACCTGTGAATGTGGCATCTTACAGGCAAAAGGGACGCTGCAGATGTGATGACATGAAGGACCTCGAGATGGGGAGGTGATCCTGGGCTATCCAGGCGGGCCCAGTGTCATCACAAGGGTCCTTATAAGAGAGGCAGAAGGATCAGAGAAGGAGACGTGACAATGGAAACTGAGGTTGGAGTGATGAGGGCCCACAAGCCAAAGAATACAGGTGGCCCTAGAATCTAGAAAAGGCAAGAAAACAGATTCTCCCAACAGCCTGCAGATGGAACGCAGCCGCTGGCCCATTTCAGACTTCCGACTTTGTGAACTTTAAGATAATGAATTTGTGTTATTTTAAGTCATTAAGTTTGTGGCCATTTGTTACAGCAGTAAAAGGAAATTAATATAACACCTTAGCTACATGGAACGCAAACTAAAACTATATTACTAAACTATCAGAGATATATAAAGATATATAAAGAAGTCCAAGAGAGTTTTAACTTTTCTCATGATGACTTTCATTTTGTTCTGAAATACCAAAATTTCTGGAAAATGTAGAAGCGTGCCTGCTTTGCAGGGGCTTCAGCACATATTTAGCCTTTCTCCTTGGCAAGCCGACATTTGCTGGGGAGAGAGGAATACCAGCCTGGGATAAAAAGCCGAGCTTTGGGGGCCAGTGGCTAAAGACAACAGGCACGTAAACGTGCACTTTTGTGGACTCACCATCACCAGGAAGGACGGCTTAGGGCCGGGGCGGGCTGTGCGTCCTCAGTCGGAGGCCTGACGATGCCGCAGATGCAGTTCCCCCCCGGAGTGCTGGGGCTGGTGCAGGCAGAGACCCTGGTCTGCTCACGGCCAGGTAATACGAGAAGCAGGCATCTGGTCTGCACGCTACTCTACTTTACTCGTTACTGTCCCCTGACCCTCGCTCCTACCAACGTGAGTTGGGCCGATGGCGGCTGCCTGGTAAGTCCATGTCGATGGGTCAGACGCGCAGGCTGGAACAGCTGCATGAAAGGGCGGGGTCTTAGGGGGGACATGGACCTATGAGGTTTAGGGGCAAGAAGAGACACAAAGGACTTCAAACTTGGATAAAGACTTTGAACAGTCAAGTGCAGGCAGTGACAAGCAGGAGCCAGCGCACGGACCAGCCCAACAGGCGCGGAAGAAGCCCTGTGCTGATGCACACCTGCAGACGGGGCTTCCATCCCAGGCTGACCTATCTGAACCCGACGCGATGCGCTACGGGTGAAAAGAAGGCTTTAGGAAGACACAGCCGAGAGTCAGACCACTGGCAGCGAGAGATAAGAGAGAAGTTTCTAATGCCAACCTCAAAACAAAAGAAAAAATATTTTAAAATTTAAATCAAGTCAAAATAGACACATTTCACCAGTAATGAAGAGAAAATGTTTTTTTAAGTTTTCTATGTCAGCAGAAGGTGTTTATGTACTTGTATACTCATTACCCCAGATGGTAAATAAATTATAAAATATAAAACACGTCACCTTGTCTTGTACAAAAAGCAATTTAAAATAGACTTACAGGCGCTAGCCCCGTGGCCGAGTGGTTAAGTTCCAACGCTCTGCTGCGGCGGCCCAGGGTTTCACTGGTTCGGATCCTGAGCGCGGACATGGCACCGCTCATCAGGCCACGTTGAGGCGGCGTCCCACATGCCACAACTAGAAGGACCCACAACTGAAAATACACAACTGCATACCAGGGGGCTTTGGGAAGAAAAATGAAAAATAAAACCTTTAAAAAAGTAAATAAATAAAATAGACTTACAGATATGCAGAAACCTTATCTGCAAATAAAATAAGCATACTCTCCTTTAAAAATATACACACATTTTCTGGTAGAATGCATATCTGATTTGCATGATGGAATTGATCATTTGCGTGTGGCTATGTCCGTGTGTCATTGGTATATCTTCTAATACTTGAATATTAGGATGAAAATTATATTTTAAAAGTAAAGCCATACTTAACATCTTTTAAATAGTTTTCCATTCAGAATATGCAAACTATTTTAAGTCTTATTTTCAACCTTTCAGTGTCAAAGGCTGAAGAGTTCCATCTCAGCTGGCTGTTCTGAACACCATTATTGTAATGCAGGTGCCCCTCAGAGATACTGTGGGTGTGGTTCCAGACCACCGCAATAAAGCCAGTACTGCGACAAAGGGAGTCACACCAATTTTTTGGTTTCCCAGTGCATCTAAAAGTTATGTTTACACTATACTGTAGTTTATTAGTTGTGAAAGAGCATGATGTTTAAAAAAATGTACATACCTTAGTTAAAAAATACTTTATTGCTAAAAAATGCTAACCATCTTCCAAGCCTTTAGCGAGTCAGTATCTTTTCGCTGGTGGGGGCGGGTCTCGCCTTCAATTTGTAAAACATGCACTATCTGCACACTGCAGCACAGTGCAGGCTTGCCTGTATTCACACCATGAAAATGGACATTAACAGTCACGAGCGCAATGTCAGTACAAAACTGAGTTCAGTCCAATCCTCCTTGAAAGGCCAGCATGAAGCATCTTCCTTTTTTCTTCTATTGAAACTTATTTCGAAATATAAACCATGCTTACTGCATCTTAGAATGTAAGTGTCAAGTTAGAGTAACACTGTATCTTGAACACAAGCATCTTCTTCGGTCATCAGGACAAACCAGACATAATAATTGATAAGCTTCATTCTTGTCCTCGCTCAGGGTCGGATGAGGTCCCATCTCAGCACGGAATACCTAGTAAACTCATTTCTTGTACATTCCACTGACAATTAACATTCTACCTCACACCGTAATCATGTTTTATGGGCATGTCTTATATCCCAACTAGATGGCAAGAATTTAAGAAACCAGTCATAAACTCGTTAGTGTTTCCACCACCAGGTCTTACAAAGTGCTTTGCAAACACAGAGCCTTAAAAAAATGAGTAGCTTGACTGTTGAACTGTGAGTGAAGAGAAAGGCATGTCAACATGTCAGATAGGTCTGCTGTCCTGCACTAACACCTCGCTGTCACCTTCAGAGCTGACAAACACTAGAGTTCAAAAGCTTGAGAAAGTCATATTTTAAAGTCATATTATTAGCCAAGGACTCATCAAAGACTGCATCCCCGTTCCCCACTCATCTCAACAGACAGTCTCACAGTTCTCTCCACACCCCCACAGAGAGTCTGCTCCTGCCTTGACGTGCCACAAGAGCGTCCCCTCACTTCGTGCTTCCCAGCACCTCCTTTCTCAGGTCTCTGTAAAGTTAAGGGAGGAAAGCTCACGACCCATCCCCTATTGTTACCCAGTTCCTAATACTGCCAGAGGATTTATTTCAGAAATAAAAATCCCACTTTTGCCACTTGGTGGTTTTTTAGTTACCACTAGGTCTTGAGGGGAAATCTGGGGAAGAAATTCTCTATTCTGTAGGTGTTCTTGCAATACTTGATGGAACTTAAAGGCCCTTAAAGGAGAAACTCTGAGAAATAATATTAGTATTGACTGGCTGAGATGAGGGGAAGATGGCAGGAGCTGGACAGAGAAACTAACACTTTGCTGCCATCAGCCAGAACTTGTCTTGTTCTGGAAGTTAGAATACAATTCATCCCTAACACCCAAATATCTGATTCACTACTGAGTGGAGGTAAGAGGATCCTCGTCCTAGGATCCTGATCTGAGGACACACACAGGTCTGATTCCTAAGACAGTGTATCATCACAGCCAATTTTGGTACATGTAAGTTCTAACTTCGATCATTGACTGCTCCTCCATCTTTGTGGCTTCTGGCTGCCTTAAAACCCTGGAGGGGGATCCTGTCCAAGCCCAGCCATCAGGTCACAAGCCCGGCCTGTGTCCTCTGGTTGAAACTCCCACCCTGGCCCCTGGCTGGGCTACATCTGCTCCCCGGGGTCGTGGTACCTGACAGGCCTTAGCCAGCCCTTGGTCTAGCCCACTCTACCCCCTTGAGAGGCAGTCACAGGGAGAGGGGGAAAGGGCAACTGCAAGTTACACTGGACAGCCCCAGTCAAAGCCAACCCCCTTTAAAGAACTTCGACACTAGGAAGCAAGAAGAGGTTTGCCAGAAGCCTTTCAACATTGGTCAAATGAGCACATCAACTGAGCAGGCATGGTGAGGAGACGTGAGGGAAAGGACGAAGAGACCCCTTGCCTAGGGAACTTACACCCTTTTGGCGGAACACAGACCCTCAGCCTCATCAAGCGACAGCAATGTGGGGTAGCAGGGACCTGACTCCTAATTAGGAACCTGCCAGAGTGGACCTCACCCTGCGCACAGAAGCTCCGAGGAGGTCCTCGAGCTACAGGTTTCCAGGCACCGCCCTGGGGTTCTAGATTAGGGGGTCTCAGGAATGCCCAGGCCTCCGTGTTTTCCAAAACTACACAGAGTAGGTGATGTGACGCCTGGGCTGAGAACCAAGAGGATGCCGAGCATTTCTTACAGGGGAGGCGCCGCACTCGCCTTCTCTTCCTTTCCATTCGCTGCACCTCTTCTCCCCTGTTCCACGGCCACGTCCGGGCGGGTGACTGCAGCTCTTTCACATAATGAAAATTACTAGGTATAACTCAACAGATGTCCTGGAAAGCAGAGCAGATAAAGAGTTTTAGCTTCTCACTGCCGGTTAAAATGCAATATAATGATGCAAATCTGATGCCACTTTTTATACAAATTGCCCCTGAAGTACTGAAAACACAGAGCGAGGAGAATAGAAAGGGCAGCAGAAGGTCTGGCGCCTTGGGTACAGATGATCCCCTGCAGCCCTGGTCACTGTCAGGCTCACCCACCAAGCCCCCAGAGCCGCTCTGGGCACCTGTGGAGTCAGGCAGGACAGGATCGAGGAGCTTCACTGTCTCCTCTAAAATGCTGCCTGAGCCACCGCTTCCCTGCTACACATCAAAACAGATGCCTGGAACCTGACCCCTGGGAGGACACATGCAAGTGACTCAGCCCAAAAGGAAGACGAACACTCAGGGGGGCTTGTGCGCGTGTTGCATCCTATGCTCTTCACATGCACGACTGATTCGATCCCTCAACAACCCAAGGAGGTAGGCATGGTAATTTCCTTACTTCATGGATGAGGAAACTGAGGTACAGAGAGACTGAAGGACTTGCCTAAGGCCACGGAGCTGGCGGGCAGTGGCGATGGGCTGCAGCCCCAGGCACTGCGGCTCCAGAGCACACAACCGGAAACTGAAGGCTTTGATGGCTTTTGTTATGTCACTTTCCAGCAAAGCCTACAAATCAAATACGTTGGTATGCTACTGAAGCAAATTATTTTATTTAAATTAATTCTCTTTAGTGTTGATTTCTTGCAAAGACATAGGCCTTCAGTGGCTCACCTTGGCAAGCAGTTCAACAGGCGCGGCCACAGGCTTCCGTTCTGTCAAGCACTGCTCCAAGAGCACGCCTCCCGTGCAGCGGCTGAAGGGACCCGAAAGGAAAACACAGTGACTTTCCTTGAAACAATTGGTGACAGAAAAATAATAACATTTAACTGAAGATACACCCTATAATCAGGCTAACTAATTAAATTGGTAATCAGAGCCTTACCTCTCACTTTCTGTGAGCATTTAGTGAAATCATCTAACCACTCCATATCCAGCTTTTCCCGTTTCAGCACAGGCTTATGAATACATCCCACTCTGAGGAGACGGCTCACGAGTACTTAAAACAGGCACCTCCCACTCCTCTCAAAGAAGAGTGAGCCGGTGCAGGTTTTCTAGATGATTTGGTTAATTTTTAGGTGAAAGACTTGAAAATTTTTTGTATAATCTCCTTTCACATTCATACCTCTTTCTGTTGTAAATGCCAGTTGGTACAACCCATCAGAAAGCAACGTGGAAAAATACGTCAAAAGCCTTCAAAATTATTCATAGACTGTGAACCAGCAATTCTCCTTTTAAGAATCTGTATTAATGCAATTACAGTGGATGCACCCAACGGGCAAACACAAGGGTTTTTATCCTAGAATTCTTCATAATAATGAGACATTGGAAACAAACTAAAGGTCCAACAAGAGGGGCTTAATTAAATGCATTGTACAGACGTGTCATTTTAATAATAGGCCATAAAATTACATTGTAGAAGATTGTTTAATGGCAGAGAAAGGCCATGTTAATGATACACTACTAAGTAGGAAAAAAAGCACAGTTTAGAAAACAAAAGGCTCCTTATTGGTAAAACATGAAATGGAAATAAAAAAGACTAAAAGTATACAAACCAAAATCCTAAATGAAGTCATCTTTACGTGCAGGGATTATAAAGAATTTCTTCACAATTTTCTTTGTACTTTATTTTTCTGCTTTCCAAATTTTCTAGATGAATAGCTATCCCTTGTAATTCAATAAAAATATCATTTCTAAATAATAAAAATCTGACCAAAAGGATGAGCAATTGTTTTAACTTTATATTCTATGACCCAGTAATTCCTCCTCTGGGATTAACATGCTAAGGAAGCAATTATGATAAAAGCTGATGATAAAAATGTACATCACAACATTATTACAGCAAAAATGCAAAATAGTATTAATATGGGAGAAAGGTTAAATTATATTTATATACGTATATGATATGAAGTTACCAAAGGCATATTTTTTAAGTAATAAAATACCTTGAGAATCTTCTGGGTTAAGCAAAAATTTTAGTGAGGACACACAACAGTATATACTATATGATCCTAAATTGTAAACTGTAAATTATTCTATACATTAAAATATCTATTTATTCAACATATTTATAAAGCACCTTCTTTGGGCAAGGCCCTACGCATGTTTGTCTGCACATAGAAACACACACATGGAAAAGCAATTGGAAAGAAACAGCAAAATATTAAGTGTCCATACATGGGTGGTAAGATCAGTGTAAATATTCTTTCCTTATTTGTGACTTTCCACAGTTTCAAAATTCTCTACAGGTATTATTGCTTAACCATACACACACATATACACACACTGGCACAAACACACACTCACACATACACACCCTTGGAGAAGACTGGTCAGACAGTGCTATGTGAGTGTTCACTTTAACATTTATCTTACTGTAAAATGTTCCTGAAGAATGTCCAGGTGGTCAAGGGTCAGAAGTCACGAGCACCAGCGGGGACAGGTGGGGAGACAAAGCTCTAAGCCAAACATCCGAAACCGGGACAGGTGGGGAGACAAAGCTCTAAGCCAAACATCCGAAACCTCTAGAGAAATCAAGCACCCTGATGGAAGGACAAACATAAAAATCCATTAAATTGTGTGCGAAGAATTCGTGTAGACTTTTAATCATTTAAAAAAATATTTTCTGGGTGTGCTGTCCACCGAAATAAAAATATAGCCCAGTCCCTGGACTAGTAGATGAAAAAATAAATAAATAATATATACTATTTTTCTTTTGATATTCATATATATAATTGACAAAAAAAGGGAGTAATTTATGCTCAGGTTATAAAGAAAAACATCATATCAATTTATAGTTAAAAACAGACACACAGAGCACATACGTTAAAACAGTGATTTCCAATCACACTTGTTCTTGGTAAGAAAGAAACTTACTAAAGTGTAAGAACTTTAAAAAGCATTTTTATCATCAAAGAAGGCTAACAGAATCGTCGTCAGTGCATGTTCTCGCTCTGTTTGAAGACAGTGAGACACCACAGCGTGACGTCCATCAGAGAGCTCACAGCTTCTTCCTTGACCCATTACAGCCCTTAAAGATTTGCTGCCATTTCTACCACAACATGAGCTATTTTATTTTTTTAAACAGGGAAAGCAATTTGACAAACTCTGAAGATTTTCTGGTAAGATTACTCAACGTCCTTAATTTCACATAAGCATTTTACTACATTACAATTATATGCTTTACAAAAACACATTACAGCAGTGTTGGCTCTAAAGCAAATATAGATATCTCATTTTCTACAACAGCTGTGTTCTTCAAAATACTGTAATTCCTCAATTTAATCATATTTCCAATTGTCATATATTATCATTTCACCAGAAGCAAATCATATCTAAGACCTTCTTTTATGATCACATAAGTATGCAATGAACCTTTTAAATTTTATCAGAAAAAGAAAACATAATACCAAACAGTAACAACTTTCAATGAATTAAATATTTCTGTAAAGCAGGAGGGCTTCTCAGCAGCACGTGCTGCACCAAGGTGAGGAGGTGAGGAGGTGAGGAGGTGAGGGACCAGCCGCCTGCACCTGAGAGCGCGACAGTCCTGCCCGCGCAGCCTCCAGGCCTCCAGCCCTCTGCCTCTCAGCACCGGTCCCATTCCCTTCCACAGGGGTCACATCAGACAAAACTAACATGGGCTGAAATAAACCAGTTTGCTTATTTAGACTCAGACTGCAGCCCCTAAAAACACGGGCTCCTGTTGCTCTCGCTCGTCACTGTACCCCTGGAGCCATCATCACGCCTGGCCGTAAATACTGCGGAGCGAGTCAAAGGGAAGGCAGGACAGTACTTTTGGCTTTAAAAATGAATAGGAAGTATCTATTCTGACCAACACATTTCTCAATTTCCTGGAGGAAAGGAATCAATTATGACATAACAATGCTCAGGCACCGAATTTACAAGATTTTTTATGCAGTTTTCTCAGCCATACTACAGACACAACACTCATTTTCTAAAATATTAGCTATTCAGTCAGGTTTGTAAAGCCTAAATTCCATTTCCTTTCACTGAACACACTAGCTACAGAAAGACGTCCCAGTTATTACCCTTGCTGGCGCCCAGGGCAGGTGATCCCAAAATATCCCACAATAGCATCTTGAATATTTTGAAATTAGTGACTTGAGAAGCAAAATGGGCTTTCAGAGCTTCCGGGCTCTGCTCCCCTGAAAGCAGGAAGTAAGTCTCCTGTGTGGGAGGTGCTCCCTCGCATCCTCAATCACCAGGGCTGGGGACTCAGGGCCGAGAGGCTGCTCAAACATAACTTGCTGATTTACTTTCTCAGCCTAAATTCTGCTTAAATTCCAGACTAATTATGTACCTTGAATCTAAGTTTCTTTGCCCTATCATTCCTCACAAATTTATGTTTCTTTGTGTAAAAGATAAATATACTGTTTTGTTCACTCTCTGAGCATCCTTTATGATCTCCAATACATACATATTAGACTGAGTTTTCCTCTCGTGAATCTGGTCTTGTGTCAATTTTGTTATTAGTCCAGCCATAAGAACACAATAAGGGAAGAAAGGAGACTTTCCCCCCTCCGATACACCTCTACCAAACATCACTAACAGACAAAATACATTTGACTATTAATATAGGATAAATGATATTATCTATCACTTAATATACACCTAATATTTGCCAGGTATCGAATTAGGTGGTTGGAGAGAGAGAGAGAGAAAGTGTAAGTGTGAGTGTGTGTGTGTGTGTTTGTGATGTGTATGTGTGAGCGTATATGCATGAACTCGTATGTTTCTGTTCATTCTTTCTAACACTGAATATTAGATTTATAATCTCCTTTTATAAATCTAAGAAACTGAGGCTTACAGAGGTCACACATCTGGAGAAGTCTGGATTTACACAAAATTTCTAGCCCACGCACTCCCACTGTACAATATTGCCTCACTTCAGCCTACACAGTCAAGATGTAGCAAAAGTGCCTACTAAATCAGTAACTTTTAAGTTGAAAAGCACCATCAAATTACCTCTGCGGGGTAATTAACACCTTCACCCACTCATGACGGCTTTGTAAATTTGACTAGAACTTTTGAAAGTCATATTGACAATACATATTTATAACCAAAAATTAAGGTGTTAACACTTGTTGATCTATTCATCCCAACTTTAACATTATATGCTAAAAAAATATGCAAAAGGAATAAATGCAGCCTTTACAACAAATTTGGAAAAAATCTAAATATCTAACAACAGAGGTCCAATAAATTATGTTTATGAAGATCACATAGTTTATATGCACGTTACCATGAGAATGTACATGTTTCCATATGAATAAAAACCGTAAGAAGGGGCCGGCCCCGTGGCCGAGTGCTCTGCTACAGCAGCCCAGGGTTTCTCTGGTTTGGATCCTGGGTGCGGACGTGGCACCGCTCATCAGGACACGTTGAGGCGGCAGCCCAGGGTTTCTCTGGTTCAGATCCTGGGTGCGGACGTGGCACCGCTCATCAGGACACGTTGAGGCGGCGTGCCACATGCCAGAACTAGAAGGACCCACAACTAAAATATACAGCTATGTACTGGGGGGATTTGGGGAGAAAAAGCAGAAAGAAAAAAAAAGGAAGATTGGCAACAGTTGTAAGCTCAGGTGCCAATCTTTAAATTAAAAAAAAAAAGAAAAAAGGAGATGCAGTCATACTAATGACACACTGCTATGGAAAAACCATAAGGGCAGGGAATGCAGCCGGGTGTGCTGGATTCAGTCCACTGAATAAAGCCAGATTCTTAAAAACAAAAAACAACCGTAAGAAAACAAAATGAGAACCATCGGGTTAAGGCAATGAGATCTGTCCAGCGGCCCAAGGCAAGTGCTGACAGAATTGACCAGTAAAGAACGAAGCCCTTCTTTATATTTAGACAGTTTTTTATTTACAATAGACAGCAAAAAGCAAAAGCAGCTAAGGGGGCCAGCTCCCCATGTCACTTGCACAGGGTGACACTGAGACAAAAGCGGCCCAACACTGCATCATAGATGCTCAGGCACCCTGCTCCTGGAGGAGCCGGACGCTGCAGCATACATGCTCAGGCGCCCTGCTCCTGGAGGAGCCGGACGCTGCAGCAATGCAGTTCTGCAGCCTGCAGCTGTGCCCAAGGAGGTGGAGTGACAAGACGCAACCTCAGCAGAACTCATGAGCCAGGAGAACTCTCTCATGAGGAAGACAAGAAATGACCTCAGGCGGCTCCACACGAGCCCACCATGCGCTCCTGTTCTGGGAGGGTCATGGGGCGTCTGTCAAGACAGATTACCTGCAGGTAAGCCGTGGCTACCTGTCCTATTTGGACACATGTAAGGTTACCAGGACACCATTCCAGAGCTATTCCCCTGCAAAACTGGATGGATTTGGCTATTGAAAAACAGAAATGCAACACCTTCCCTTTTGTGGAAATAAGCAGGGCTATCTCTTTTTCTGAGCAGTATTATGTGGGACATGTGTGTGTGCGTGTTTTCTTTCTTCTAAAACCAAGAAAAATTCCCTCAACTTATCTGTAAACCATGGCCGCAGCCAAATTTGCAGATGAGCAAAAACCACGGCAACTTTTTTCACAAAAAACGTGGCAACTTGTGCCTGCTGAGATAACACATTTACACTTTACCACTCACTGAACTTTGCTTTGTTCTACACACACCTTGAGCTTTGTTGGCTTATTCATCAGATTAGCAAGAGCAAAGGCTAGAAATTGAAAGCAGAGGACACAGAAAAAAACTGTGGAAAAATATTCATAGGAGTCGAAGTCACTGTGTACATGTCACATTTCCACACCAAGTCTTTTTTTCTAAACTATGGCCACGAGCCAGTGACCATAATTATTTTTCTTGCCTGCAACCCCAGGTCCAGGCCTATAGAAACAAACAACAAAAGGGGTGGATGAGAAGCACCATATTGGACCAGCCAGAGCCGCCACCAGACCACTCGCAGTTGGGGTCGACTACAGAAATGATGGTCCAAGGAGGGAAGTGCTAGGAGAGAGAATTCAACTTTGGTCTGGGCAGTAGGGAAAGAGGCTCAGCTGCTGAGAAAAACAACCGTAACAGTGTGGCAAAATCAAGGAGCTCCGCAGAACACAAGCCAAGGAAAGGCAGGTCAGAGCCGGGCTTGCAGGCTGGCACACGGACTAATTTTCTTAGCGGTGTGCACATGTGGTATTGCCTTAGGAACAGACAGGTGCAGTCCCCTCAGCCAGGCCATGTCCTCACAGACAGCAGAATGCTGAGACACACAGAGTGTGGGCTCTCAGAAGTATTCCTTTTACCAAGTGCTCACAATGTCTAATAGGACTGGGCAGTGATATCACCCTTGTAAACGGGGCACACGCTGAGTATCATCCATTCCAGACCAGATACCCCTGAATCACGAGGGGCATTTTTAGACCCTAAAAATCACACTTGTGTCCTACTTTATCATTTCAGACCTGAAGTTCTGAATAACTGAGTTAACTTAAATTAATAAAAAACCTTTCCTACTTTGTATTTCGATTCTTTATATGAATACTCTTCCACATGTGTGTGCTAGCATTTTTGTTCTC